AGAGCTGGATTTTTATACAAGCAACCTGAGTGACATGAGGAGAAGTTCTCAGTGATAGCTTTTATACAGGAGAGAGACACAGAGGTGTAAAGAGAGAAGGAGGCTCGAGTGATACAGGATGGGTAATGAAGGGAGGAAGGAAAAAGGAGGAGGAGGAGGAGGGGGAAGAAAAATCAGGTCGAGCTCACAAAAAAGAAAAGGTAGAAAACGACAGAGAAAGATCCAGTTGAAGGAGCAAATGAGGGAGAGACAGTTAGGGTTGGGAGGAGAAAGGGAGGGCTGTTATAACTTCATGCATGTTTAAGCAGAGAGATAACAAGAGTTAAATGCCCCAAGGATGAAGGTACCAGTGCCCAGATGGAGAAACTTCACCAGGTGCAACATGTCTCATGAGAAAAGGAACACTTTTTTTTTTTTTTCACTGAAGACAACGTATTTAATTTGATGACTGCTCAATAATTCAGTAATCTATCAACTCAGCCTGCTATAGAATCAAATTATGGAAACCCGAGACCACACAGCTCTCTGTGTATGAAAATGGATGACATGCTTCTGTCTCCACCAATATAACAAAGTAAAGCCAAAATACTGACATGTTAAGAGATGATGTAGTGAGCTGCAGGACTGGGATTATACTCCCAGATCACAACTTCGAAACACGATCTGAAACATTAGCCGGAGGTTTCAACTTTTTTCCAAAATACAAGGGGAAAAAAATCTGATACTAGTTACAGAGATGGTTTCCACATCAGGGTATACAAAAACTGAACAAACACAAAAGTGAATTCCCCAATCTGAAAAAGTTCTAGCTCTTGAAAACCATGCGGGTATTTAGACTATTGGGATCTGTCCTATTTGTTCATAAAAACTACTAAAACTGCTAGCGTTCATACAAGATTATTTTATTCCATTTTATTTTATTTATTTATTTTTTCTGCCTATTTATGTTATTTTATTTTATCATTAATATTACATCATTACTATTTAATAATGATTTTATTATTTTTATGAATATCGTCTTTTTATATTTAATATCCTGTTTCCCCATGGTCTCATTTTATTTTGTAGGGTTCTTATATTGTCTTGGTTTCTTATGACAAATGAAACTGGCCTTCAATTTAGAGGCCTTGTTTTTAACGGAGCTTTAGTTTTTTATTTATTTTATTTGTTGCTGATGTGTTATGACTGTTTGTCAAAGCACTTGTAAACCTCTGTTTTAAAAGTACTATAAAAATAAAGTTATTATTATTATAAGATCTGCTCAAGTCTCAAAGCGAGATGCACCAGGTGGCGTACATCTGACATTGACTGCCGTAACCCACAGTGACCTCTCGGATCATCCCTGAATGTGAGCGTGAGCTCATTGTCTCCAGGTTGAACACTGCTTCCATTCTCGCAATCACGCACAACTCTGACAAGGACCATTGTAAAATTGTGATTACAAGCTGCAGAAGCGCTGTTATTGTTAGCATGCAGATGTCGCTATTTTCTAGAAGTTTCTCATGGATTTGATGTTCAGTGTTACACAGTTGTATAACAATGGATCTGTACAGTATGTTCAATAGAAATATAACATGCTGGGTGTCCATACTGCTCTGTCCTTCACTATCTTTTATCTTCTTACACGCACTCACACACACTCATACCACCAGGGGAAAAAAATCCTTTCAGTGCGAAAAATTGACTGGAACAGATGGCATCAGAATGATTGAAACAACCTACAATGGTTTCCCCACCTTCCATATCTCTCCACCTCACCCGCCCTCATTCGCTGAATGCTTCTGTCTCTCTTTAACACCCCCCTTTCTCTACTCATGTTCCCTGGTCCTTGCCCAACCCCACCCATCGTCTGCATGCCTCATCGCAGCCTCTTCAATGCCATCCAGGCTCACAGGTCTTGCCAAAGAGGCTCAGGCTCACTGGAAGCCCCATGGTGCTGCACAAAGTCAGCCAAGAGGAGGAAGAGAGGAAGGAGGGAGGGAGCAGGAATGGAAGGTGGAGGAAAGAGGACGCAAGGATTTGGTGCTTTTCTGGGCTGATTTGAAATCTTATTTTAGCTGCTGGTTTTAAACGCTGTAGCTTGAATATGGATTTTCAACCTACAATATATACATGACCCTTTGCTCCTCAACAAGCTGGTTTTTCTTTCCATCCCAAACTTCTTTCCCTGTCTCTCCTTTTTTTTTCTTCTCACCCTTATCACTGCCTCCTCCTCACCCTCCTCATCACACCTCCAACTCGACACCAGGCCTGGCTGCCGAGTGCCAGTCATGCAAATGAAATAGTTAGCGGATCAAAAGACACGAAGCGGTATTTTTAATAGCAGAAGAGGTGTTGATTAGTGTCAGAGTGGGAGAGACAAGGCAAAGTGCAAGCAGCCTCGATTACACCCCCAAAGCTTTCGGGCATATGCTGAAGCGTGTGTGTGTTTAAAGGTGTGAGAAAAAGTAAGGAAATGTGTGTCAGTGTGGGAGCTGAATACCTGCAGACATTTGCCTACGAAAGCATGACTGTCTATGTGTGAGTGTGTGTGCGAGTGTCATCAAAGTGTGTCCCTCTAGGAGATCATCGTTAATGCATAATACATAGCCGCATATTTCCAACTCTAACAGCAATAATGTTGGCGCGCTGACTTTATAAAAAGAAGATCAGGTGTAGGAGAAAGTGATTACGAGGCATAAACACCGCAACTCATATTGCTTTATTATAAAAAAGAAAGTGGCGTGAGGATGACAGGAGCTGAAGACGGCTTTGAAGAAGACTGCCAGCAACAGTTTTAATAAAGTGAAGTTGTTGTTTTTTTTGGGGAAAAGCACACGGATAATGAGCCGCGCTGGTAAATTAAATTTAAGCAAATCAGGGTAAGTGTCGGACATGGTGGCATTAAGGCTTCAAATGTGTGTTAAGTCATTAAGCGGCAGTATATGATGATGATCTGGCTCGGGCGATGTTTATTTCTATATGCAATTCACGTCAACAATGGAGATTTATTAGTATAATCAGGCAACACTCTTCTCCAGCAATTTACTGTATGTAATAGTGGAGTTAATTACGTTCTTGCTCGACACTAAGCAATGTGTGCAGCATTTTTAATTAGATCTCCAGGGGATTGTTCTTTTATTATTAGTATTGTCTTAGAGGCATTACATAACCCTTTGCGTTTGTCTTTCAAATTTTTATCCACGGCGAGCAGTCCTCATCTCTGCGTCGAAATTTCCAGTCCAACCTTTAGTGATAAATAAAGGCAGTTCAAAGCTGGCATACATCAGCGCCTCTTCGTTCTATGTCCAGTGGGCTTGCCGGCATGTTTTTTACCCGCGTCAGAATTTTCATCTCTCCGTTCTCCCCAGCTGCTCTTCCCCTCTCTCTCTCTTTTTCTCTCACTCTCACAGATGGCAGAGGGTCGGAGCACTTTAATGAATTTTCAAAGGAGGCTGCATTGGCAATATTAAAAGGAGCTCCAAAACTTAAACATGTCTGACACCGGTGTCACATGCATGCGCGCAAGGACATTAGCGTGCACATGAACCCACTCTCTTTACGGGTGCCATCATGAAAAAACACACAAAATAAAGCCGATTTACCCGACAATACTTCCCTAACAAACACAGAGAGTGGAAATTACTCTCCGCTCACCGGTGGACTCTCTTAATTAACTCCATTAAAATGACAGGCACCCACTGAAAGGTCAAAGGTCAATTTTAATGATGAGCCTACATATGGCAGCCGCCGTGTTGCCTTGCAAGGGAAAACGAGCGCCACTTCTGCTGATCCATCTGTCCCGTGGTAATGACTGCACCTGGCCTCGCAAGGGCCGACGCGCGCACATACACAAACGTACACACACAGGTAACGGGAGCCCTCAGAACACGCTCGGCACACAGAGGGAAACACAATTAAAAAGCAATAAGCACGCTTGCATCTTGCAGCCACATTGTTTACTCATTATGTCTAATTATCTATTTGAGTCAGAGATTTAAAAGACTCCTTTGTATGAGCTCTTTCAGACAGTTGGCGAGAGCGTTTACGGAGCAATGAGGCCGTAAACGGCTGTCGTCTTGAACCTGCTGGATTCCAATTGGAAACGCAAGTCAATTGTCAGTAGAATCCTGGTGACCTTTGTTAATGGTGTTCTTGTTGTGAGGGGCCAGTGTTTAGGAAGCTGATTTGTGTGTCGAGAAAGCAGTGTCAAACATCATTACAGCCCCTGTTTTCACTTCTCCTCCTCCCTGCACCAGACCCTGGAGGAACCACTCCAATCCAAGCCGTTTTCAGCCCGGCCTTGATCACACGAGCCGACACACTGCTGCCTGTAGGGTTTCCCCCCCGATCTCATAAGTGGCTGATATGAAGGGGCCAAGTCTGTGCAGTGCTGCTAGGGGCATCAAGGCTATAGCCTCTCTCTCTCTCACTTTTCAATTTTTTTTTTCTTTTCTATTCTGTCCATCCTTCTGTCTTTTTCTCCCGAGGCAGGAGAGTCTTTATCCTACCTCTGTGTAGCTGAACTCGGGGTCAGAACTGAGCATAGAGCCCATGGGTCTCTGATCTCTCCAAACTTCTGATCACTTATCAAGGTCTGCCAGGCTGAATTTTTAAAACACTGAATCTGAACCAAAAAAGAAAAAAAAAAACCTTTCAATCCCCTCAGTGTGTTACTTTTTTGACACTAGAGGGTGAGCACGGCCCCTGGGATGATACATCAGACCAATGCAGTATTTGATCCAGCTCTGTCCCCTCCGTGATATTTCATTATTTGTACCCTTACAGCCTAGCAGATGGCCTGCAAGCACAGCCATATTCACAAGTTTTAATACTCTAAAGATCTAGTTCAACTCACCATGATAAAGAAGTAAAAGCATTTACATTTTTGAGAGATTGGAGTGTTATTTGGAGTGTTATTAGCTCGCCTGTCGTCATCTAATTTTCCTCCAGTCTGACCTGAGGGAAAAAAAAAAAAAATAAGGATAGTACCGAAGATCTGTGAATTGAGACATACAGAGCAATTGCACATCACTTCTGTTTTCAAACAGGAGACAGCTGCAACAGGAAGAGAACATCTGCTGCCGCGGTAACATAAGCGTTTCTCGTTCCCGTACTGTCATGCCTGAGCGGCCTTTTCACCGGACAGCTTTGAGTCTGACAGGCGCCTGATGAAGTTTGGAGTTTCTGTAAGTGAGCTCATCAGGCTGTCACTCACAAAGTACTTATTCACACCTCCTCTTGAAGAGAGATTAAAAACAAGTGAGCAATATTTTTTTTTCCTTCCTCAAAGAACAGCCTTAGTTTGGGCGCCAATCTGGCTTCTTGTGTGACTTGTGTAAACTTCTAGATACTTCAGCAGTCTGTGTGAGCCCGGGCCATCTGTAGCCTCTGTCAGTGCTTCTCTGAGTCTTTGTTGCAACAGAGAAAAAAAGAAATGTTTATATCAGCTCAGATGGAAGAGTGCAAGCTCTCTCAGCATCATTGATAACATGGCAGAACTGTTCTCTCTTCTGCTATGTTAGTTTCACACCTTCTCTCATTTTCTCTACGCGCTGGGGCCTTTTTTGCAGCTAGCTGGAGCTTGGCCAGCCGGAGCCATTTCATCCCATTATGTGGTACTGTAAAAAAACAGCTGCTCCGATTCCACACTGGTGAATAGGTTAAATGGTGACACACGGAACAAGGCTTTTTTCGTCACGGTCTAAATTGACCGACAACAGGCTCTGGAGGTTCCCCGTTTCTTCCCGGCTGCCTTCCAGCTCTGTTGCTTTTGATTTCCAATTAGTGAGCATTCATTCCTGCAGCCATTTTAAGAGTTATAGCTCTCTCTCTCTCTCTCTTTCTCTCTCTCTGGCTCTTTTTATCTGTAACTGTGAGGATTTATCGACATGTTTTAATGCACAATTGGAGAAGACACAAGAAACCCTCAAAATACGTCAGACCTGATAATCATCTGCTTTTACTTAATCGTGCAGTTGGACTGTCTATCATCAATACACTGTATCACTAAACCAATATTGTTGAATTCCGCTAAACTGCAAAATCAATATTTATATAAAAATAACAAAAATAACACTGGAGAAGCAGCAGTAGCTAGCGAGCTAGCTAGCTAGCTGAAGCAGGCCTCAGAGATGATTTTATTAAATGTTGTGGCCACACCAAATACAAATAAAATAATTTGTGAATTACCAGTAAAGTCAATGTTAAGACTTAAGTTCGAGTTAGGCAACGTGAATTTTCCAACAATCAAATTTCAAATTCACAAGCGTTAAGAAATATGAACTCAAGAGGACCGTTTGTGCCGTGATAGCCTATTAGCATGAAGATTACCTGGTGACATAGAAAGTAATTCCTTCCTCCCTTTCCTGAGGTTGTGCAGTTTTGTCTTTTCAGTTATCTATAATCATTAAAAATAAGCCTTTCAAATGGGCTCTTTTGAGCGCATGTTTGGCTTGTATGGCATATACCCAGAATTAAGACTGCTCTATCCTTCACATTGTTTGCAACCCCCGGAAACATGTTTATAAAACAAAATTCCCTCTTAGGTCTTATTTTTCTATTACTGCTGCTAAAAACAGCATATAATTCTTCAATCTGAACATTAACAGGATATTAAAAGCCCCTAAAGTGCATGTAGGCAGTAAGTTAAAGTTCAAGTGTTTAATAGCATGTTGAAAAGTGCTTACTCAACCATAAATGTTATCTGAGATTGTCCATTTCCCATTAAAAAACAGAGAACAAGTGCCTTACAAAAGATACTTGTACTTTAAGAGTGAATTAGATATTTAGAATGAAAGCAAAGACAAGAGCTACTCCTCAAAAGCAGACGAGTTCAGCCTTCCCTTTTTCCTTAACTGACCTCACTGTCAGTCCTCGGTCTCTGAGGCATTGAGAATTTGCAGGACGGGGGGAGGTTCATCTAAAACTGACTATTGCAAGAAATGTTTTGACAGAGTTTCCAATGGCTGGTGAAGAATAATGGCAATATGAGTCATGATTAACAACCCTATCAAACCCTCCAAGATATATTGTGGTCATTTGTGTCAAGGGATGTAAAAGTCCAAATCTGGCTGGATGAAAAGATAGCCGGTTATTCCTGGGGGGAGTTTTTGGGGTGGCAATGCATGATTTGTGATCACTGCATATCAAAACCTGCAAATGATGAGCGTACAAATCATTATCAGGCACAGGCAGTGACATGATACCAATTTACAATCTGTGAATAGGCTGTTGTCATTAGCATATTGTTTGTAGCATTTATGGAGGTCGCAGTCATGGCATAGAGATCTTATATTTAATTATGAATGAAACATGACAGCAGTGCAAGGGGGCTAATTTGAATTTATCACTAGGTGAAGCTGCCATTCACTGTCAGCAACCAAACAAAGCCACTCCTCTGACTCCTCTCAAAATGCGCTTTTGTCCCCACCGTTGTGCAGTGACTGTTGTGTGATGAATGAGAAAAGTCAAGACCCGCTGTGTCAAAAAGAATCTCCCTGGAGGAAACTGATGTCCTTGTCCAAAAGCCGCAAAGTCTCAGAGGACCGAGTACACGGCGCCACAAAAATCCAACCAAGGGCAGATGATGTCTCTGTAAAAGTTTAATCCATATTCCAAAACAAAGTGCGAGCTGTGTCGCCACGTTTTTCCATACGCATGAAGAATTTATGATGGAGGGTGTTTCAGTCTGTCAAAACCAGAAGGTTTGATGACAGGCTCTGGCCTCCACAAGGGTCTGACAGCTTCTTTTAAAGGCACAGTGCGCAGAGTTTAGCATGTAGCAGAAGAGACTTGGAGCAAATTAAATATATATAAAATATTTTTAACCCTTTAATGCCTGACACCACAAATTATGGACAGAAATTATAAATATTTTGAAGCTGAAATGTTTATTTTACTTACTACTGAAAAAAATCTAAATGTCCTAAAAATCTATCAAATATATTTATTTATCTTGTTTGATTCATTAGATGTTTTGGGAAACTGATAAACTACAAGAGGACATTTTTATAATTTATTGGACTGTATTTCGGTGTTTATTTTTAGTAATTCGTTGATCATATTGATTTGATAGAAGTATATAAAAGTATGTATCAAATATGATACAAAAGGCAATAAAGGGTTAAGTATGTTTTGATAGGTTACACCGGGTGCTACTGTAGCTGAGAATGGACAAACTTGTAAATGACATATATTTTTTTCAGTCTGTGCCAAGTTATTTGTATTTGTTGATGTTTTTGATGTAAAGAATGACAAATGGATGATCATACTTAAACTCACAGGAACTTCTTGACCTTGAAGGCCACCGTTGCTTTATCATTGGAAGGGGTGAGCATGGGGGCAAATGTAATGATCCCACATTGCTGCATATTCCAGTTTCTATTCTCTGCATAGATCCAGACTCGAGTCAGTACAGTACAGATGCCAGTTTCCTTTACTGTCATACATGTGCAACTTATGACAAGTGTGACTACCTCAGTGGCCGTCAATGTATACACACTATTGTGGTATCATATATTAGGCGAAATGTCATAAAATTCCAATGCACTGCTTCCCAAACCTATTTTGGCAAAAGACATGTCATGGTGAGCAATGGCGGTATCAAGGGAAATTGCTTCATAAAAATGTCAAATCACAAAGAAAAGTAACCACTTTAATCCAGAAGCAGGGGTCATGGTGTGGCCTCCAGTCACTCATTCTGGCATTGCCATCTCTGCCTTATTGCAACAGCTAGTCAAAGCAAAACATTACAAAACTGAGCCAGTGCTTTAACTAAAACCCACGTCTGAGCGGTGCCATGTTCACTGTGTCGCATCACAGAGGCTTTTTGTAATTCCGCCCAGCACTGACCACTCCAAACATCCCCAAATCCCTCTTGTCAATAAAGAAAAGACAACACAAGGAACTGACTTCTCGGCTTTTCTTTGCCTTGTCAAAAGTTTCCATATCGCGTTGTGAGTTCTACACAGCATAACTAAGACCCTGCAAGCAGCTTATCTGCTTAAAACAGGAGGGCGAGAGAGGGTGAAAAAACAGCTTCCGTCTTCCATCTTTTTTCCTGGTTCACAGAGTGGGTTTATTGAAGCCACCAGAGCTTTGGTTTCTCCCTCTAGATCCCCCCCTCTGCCATTCCTCCCAGTCTAATCCACTTAGGCCCATGCTTTCTCCGCTGGTCTTGATTGGCGAGGCCTCTAAACTTCAACCTCTGGATCCAGGAAAAATCAATAAAATTTACTGGACTGCAAAAATTCTCAGTATTAGAGGCTACGATTAAAATATAATACTATTACGACATTGTTACTGTAGAAATACATCATTTGACTATAGGAGAAACTGGGACAATGAGGTAGGAGAGTGTCAGGTATTGAAATTGACCTCCAATCAGGGGTGTGCACAGAGGAGCAGGCACAGGTGGCACTGCCCTCCTTTAAATGGCCACCCTGGTCCCATCTCCAAATTCTCCAAATTGAAGTTAAAAAACTTCCTTCTGGATGCTCCTCAAGTGTATTAATCATGATAAGATGCTCTTCTAATAATTTTATGTAGATATACAGGTTAAATTAGGTTGATGCTTGTGATCTCAGTTTAATACTTCAAAGAGTGTTTTGATTTAAGTGTTTAATTTATCGTTTGGTAAACATTTAATCAGTAAGTTGTAGGCGGTGATACACAATTAAATGTTGCCTAGGTTCTCACAAAAATATGGGGAAATTAGCGTTAAGCTCTCAAAATTTCAAGCAGGAGGACCCCAAGAACCCCTTTTGATTTTCTTGTGCATCTTCATCATGATCGCAGATTGCTTAAGAGAAATAAGTGAAGGGTTTCAGAGGCAGATATTGGCTTTTTGAACCCAATTGTTTATTAGAGGTGGCCTTTTGATTAATTCGAGTAATAAATAAACTCCAAATAGCAAGATGGACACTGTGAACCATGACATGAGCTCAATACTGACTTTTATCCTTATCTATCTTATTTATTACAGTTTATTTGTTTCATACATAAAGAGAACACTGAATTAACTCAATAGAAATTCCTTCACTTATCACAGAATGGCGTCATTTCCGTAAAGTTGTCACCAAACTTTTCTTTGTCTTTTTTTTTTTTGTAACTCTTACTTTTATTCTCATCATTTTCTCGAGAGGAAGACTGAGAAATTTAATCACAGAGCTCCTTTAACACTCCTCCTGTCTGTCCACCATTGTACACAACTTTTCACAATTCATTGTGGGTGTCTACTGTACAGGGTATAATTATTATCACTCATGTTTTAGACAGCACTACAAATGGTGTATTCGCTGTGCAGCACACTGCAGTAGTGGGTGATTTTGGGTGCAACTTGGCCTGAACAGTTTGTCAAAATAGGATTTAGGGGATTATTTTCTTCAGTCCTTTGATTCTGATATACCGAATACCATTTCTCTGGTATTTACACTTAACACCTTAATGCATCACATTGTAAATCCTGCCACATCCCACTCATCTCTTTTCCATTCATTTCGTTGTCTCTCAATGCCGTCCCTTAAAGCGCCTCGGTCTCTCACTCTCCCTCTACAAAACAACACTGATGCTAATGTCATTGAAACCCCAGGTGCTTCTAGTGCCTCTTGAAGTCTGACATCAGTCCCTGCCACCCCCTTTCCCCTGGGTCCAATTTTCCCGGCATGAAGCTTCAAGGTCCTCAGCTGAGCTCTCTGTTTAGCAACAACAGTAGCTGCAACTGCGAGTGTGTGTCAGTCTGAATGGTAATGAGCGTCCCGGAGATTGAACCCCCAGTCTTCCCCGCTCTCCCTCTCTCTGTCTTCCTGAAAATAGATTTGTTCTCACATGCAGTACAGATACTGTAATCGCATTCCTCCAACAGTGATCCCTTTGGGATTTGTTGCACGCGCACCAAAAATGTAAATGAATGCAGGGGGGGATAGACATCATCAGCGATAAATCATATTACTGGCAATTCTGCTTAGCAACACAACTAGACTGCACTGTAAGCAATGACCACAGGGAATTAGCTCTGAGTCTCGTATTTCCCAAATACTACACCCCGTTATTGTCAGCTCACTCCATTTCCTTGTTTTATTGCACATTTACAAGAAAGCAAAAATGTACTTTAGAGGAGTACATTCGTAGGGGGACCAGTTTAATTGTAAGAAGGAAAGGCGTGCTATAATGGAAATATATATTTCTTCACAGCAAGAAAGGAAAGTAGAGAGGAGGTCTTATAACATCCCTGTCTATAAATCTCTGGTAAAATAAATGCCAAACTGAGAATGTGGCAAAATGCTTTTTTTCTTCACCACATGGTTCATTGTTTGCGCCTGGGCCACTCTAAAGTCTCCAAGAAGTGCGGGACTGTCGTTATATAATGCAGCTGGAATCTTGGTTGTTGGCTGTCAAACTAACAAGCTTGGGGAAATACAAAAATGGTTGGGTGAGAGATATCTGAGGGCTACTAAATTACCTTAGAGACTCACAGAGAGATGGGCGCACCTTGGCGTACGTTCATACGAGCGCGTTTGTTTGTTCGCCGGTTGTGTTTGCAGAAAAGAAAGACTCCTAGATAAGGTTTCTGCTTATATTCTCGCTGCCTCCACACTGGAAATCTCAAAACCCTGACAAATATTAATGCAAGTTGTGCAAACTTTGGATTCTCAGGGGAAACTATCTCAGATGTTTCATGTCCCACGATTAATAAATGATGCCCCGCTCTTGACAGGGACTATTCTTAACCCCCAAGCCTGCGCAACGCTGGGACACCATCATTTTTCAGGGAGCTTTTGACAGCCTGCACTGAAGTTTAGCTTGCTGTACATTGTAATTTGCTGACGTTTCTTTTTCTTTTTTTCTCCCTTCCCCCTGCTCCCTCTTCTCCCCAATGGCCCACTTACAGATGTGACCAACTCTTCCACACAAGGTAAGACTCATTTCATTTTTCACCGTGCTGTTCTCAAGAGTCAGAGTCATGTTTGAGTTGTCATGTGTCTCTGGGAGTGATGTGAATGCATAAATATGGAGGAGAGTTGGATGGGGCGGCGGGGAAGGGGGTCCAAGCAGTAGCAAGATGCTGCTGTTTTCTCAATAAGGTATGCAAGGCTCTGCAATCCTCACCAATTCGGCTCCCCCACATGTGCATATGGGAATCCACAGCGGCCTTTTTTTTTCTTCTTTTTTTCTGGCAAGCGGATTGTGTGCTCTGTGCCTTCAATTTAAGTTTTATTCAAATGAGAATCAAATGGCCCAGATTGTTCAAAGAACATGCCGGCAGTGTTGACTTAAACAAGCATAGCACGGATGGTGTCTGTTTCCTCACTGTGGTGAGTGTGTGGACATTTCTCATAAAGGAAGCTGTGCACCCTTTGCTGTTTCCCGTCTCCACCTGTCAACATAAAGCCCTGGTGATGTGGACTCTGACTGTGTCCATATGGTGACACTGCCTCAGACACCCTGTCTGTGGGGCAAAAGTTCAGCACAGACATCTCTCATGTCCTGATATTCTCTCTGGAAGTATTTCATGATTAACTGAGTGGCATTTAAAGTGACTCTTACTCTGCATTGTTGAGTAAAAGTCACCAAAACACTCCTCCAGATTGTCCCTTGTCATTTATTCTCTAACCACTTGCAGTAGCTTCACCAGTCATCAACCACAGTCAAATCACTCTCAGGGTTCCTCTGCATGCACGCTTCAAGTGCCTCTGCAACACTATGAGCAAAGTCTGAAAGTGTAGCTGCCCCATGATGGACAATCCAAGACACAGTTCTTTGCAATTTATAAGTTTAGACATTACATACTCCCCACTTATCTGTAAATATAAAACACAGAGAAACACCAGCATGAAAAAGCTCTTGTTTAACTCCCACACTGTGAAAAACACAAGAACTTTTCTGCAAGACTTGAACTTGAGAGAAATGAATATGGAAGATGTGTCTTCATCTCCTTCCTCCCAAGGTGAAACTATGACACTGCTGCGATAAACAGTACATAGATTTAAATGCACTGTTAAATTGAGCTATGGCCATGGCTTTATAGGTGATCCTACTGCACTACTGACATTTTACCATTTTAAAAGCACTGGGCAAAAATCTAATTACTGACAGAAGCATGAATGCCTCCAGTAGGTGGTGACATGCCCCCTGTGAGCTTAGTTGACCTATCACGTATCCAAACAAGCAAAAAAAGGGCTAACTGGATGTAAGTCCAATGATGAAAACACTGTCACTTTTACAGTTCTTTACAGTGTTTTTTTTGTACAACAGGAAAGTTCCTCTTGCATGCTTTTCAAGTCCTGTTTCAAAGCCTTGCGTGCAGACACTGGAGTATACGCAGAACACTTGGGCTAGTTTCAGTCCAACTGAGCTGTACACAGAACAATGAAAATCTCTCCCACACTGTATTCTCTAGATATTTTAGTTTGACCACAAAAAGTACAATTAAGTGTGATTTCAGTTCAACTTGTTAACATGTTTTTTTAAAGGCCCAGTTTCAGTCAGACTAAAGCAAAAAATCATTTTGAAGCCCAAAGATGGACACACTTAAACCACCCACACTTTCAATCAATTTCGCTGCACAAACAGAGGTGGGGCCACGATGGGCCTTAAGCCTTGTCTCCACTTTGATTTTTGTCTGTCTGGTTCATAAAAAAACAGCAACATAATTCCTCTAATTAATAAATATAAACCCTGGAGTTCAAGTTCATGACTTATGTCAAATAGTAATTACAAAAGAGTGCAAAGATTGAGAGCCTGTGGACACACCGATCTGAAGTATTTGGTCTGAGATCATTTGAACTACAGTAAACTGTTGTAGTCTGATGTAAATCATGTGCGCCAGTTAGTATAAATAGTATTGTTCATTTGTAAGAAGCTGAATATGAAAGCTAAGGTAGTTCAATACTGATTATCAGATTCAAAACCCAACTGTTGGTTTGATTGTTCAGTTTTCCGCATATGCCAGAATGGTACAGATCTGTTTCCTCATAATTGTGGCGAACAGTTGCACTTTGTTTCTGAAAGGACTGCACAAGTAAACAACAGATTTCATCGGCTGTAAACGTTGCTGACAGCAGACCAGCAGGCTCAGTGAAGTAGGGAACGATTGAACTCTGGTCAAAGCAAGGGAACCCAGTGTGAAAACGACCCAAGCTGTTGAATGGCAAGATGAGTGTAGCATCCTATGTTTTGTCAGGCTGTTTCTAGAGGATCTCAGCAGGCTGCAGGGGTGTGATAGAGGTCAACTGCATGATTGAATCCACCATAGCAGGGCCTCAGACCCAGACAGCAGGACCTTTCAACGCTGCCCATGGCTCCGAGCATCTGTTCATATGGGGAAAATCAATCATCTCATCTCCAAAGAGGAGTGTATTGGACAAATTAGAGAGCTGGCATACCTCCGTGTTACTCTTTCCTGGCTGGTGATTTTTTCTCAGACACAAAGTTGTTCCTGATGCACTTGACTTTCATACTCAAACAGTTTTGGGAGACGGCCACCTCATTGTGTAATTGAAAACCCAGCGCCGTGCCACTACACTCGCACAGTTTGGCTACCCGGCGGAGCATCTGCAAGCAGTTCTGGTCCGGCTCTCGACTCTTCGAGGCGGGCGCTGGCTGGCTGACTGCTCGGAAACAGAAAACCCCTGGCTAGCTGAGAATAATAAGTACCCATGGGAAGCTGCCAGATGGACATTTACTGTGGAGCCTAGCTGGAGAGGGAGAAATCTGTCAAACATCACACCAGGCATCTGTGGGGGAGCAGTGCAGGTTCACGTCCACCATGTCTGATAAGAGGAGTGCTCTTTGTGGAGACTAAAAGCTGTTAGATTTTTAACACATCATATCCAGTTAATGCATTTACCTTCTTTCAAGGTCAGCAATCCACATTACATTAAACACACCTGTTACAGCTTTCAATAATGTCTCCATAATGGATGCTTCAAGACACTTATCTTCTGTTTGTAGTTGTTGTTGCAGGCGTAGTCATTGAATAGCCTTTCACATAAATTTGACTCCTATTTCCAAGCATTTAGCAGCCAATAATTTAAACTCAATACATTTATTAGATGTTCTGTTGTGCAGAAGACATAAGGAGGATTACGGCAGTCTGAGTTGATGCTTAACACTCAGCAGATTGTCTAGAAAGAGTTTGTTTTCTCCGTAAAATTGGCAAAGACAGTTTAGTCTGTTCTCAACATAGCAGTACGACTAAAAAGCATGTTCCTTTCTTAGATAGTCCTTGAAGCCCTGTCTTCTGACTTACAGCAGAAACGTCCGGTATTCCTTTTTTTTTTTTTTCACACACTCTTCAATACAAAGCTATAGGCGAGGAATTACAATTGGCTCATTATGCTCTCAGAAGCTCAAGGGCTCCAGAGACGGTAGGAAGTGGGAGAACGAGAGAGAAAGGAGCACAAAGAGTTCATCCCAGTATCGTCAGCAGCGAAAAAGGACCTTGGTTCTCTTCGACAAGCTGTGCACCAGTTATTATTGCATTATGTCTGGCAGTACTCCTCTCAGACAGGAACCGAGCCACACTTGATCAGCGATATGACACTGGCAGAGAGGAGAGTGATTGCTGGCTGCTTAGTTAAGCAAATACCATTATGCTGTTGAAGTCTAAAAGTAGATCTGCGCTTGGTGGGAATGATAAAAGACCGGCCCGGACAGTATCCAAGGCACTGGCAGCTTTGTAATACTCAAGAGTGGATTCTTGTGAAATGGTTTTTTGGTTTATTCTTCCCTCAGAGAACAAGAACAATGCTATTCACGGATAGTACACCACTTTCAAGTCTCCATCTGGGCTTCCCATGCCCTGGAAAAACCTGATCTTTTATAGGGTTTATGATATCAAACATGAATGCTTAATTAAAGAGGGTTTTCTGACGACTGTGTGCATTATCTATAATTTTCTTTGTGTACATGGCCAAGGTAACAGAATATGTTTTGTAGCTACGATCTGGAGTTCACAGCCCTCATAGGAGTGCTTCTATGGAGGACAAGCCAGGAATCATTACCCCAAACCATTAGAGAGCGACCATAGCTTGTTCCTGGAGGGTCTTAATATTAGTGCTTTCTTTTCTTTTAGCCGTGCCCTCTGGGTAACGGGCCATTTCGCTAATGGTAAGTTTCTCGAGCATGTGTCAAAAGCCTCCTGGCATATGAAAAGCTCTTGAGGGAGCTCAAAGTGATCGTATCCCACTCTTTTTTTTCCAACACAACTACCGCTGGGTATGTTGTTAATAAGAAATATGACTGATGGCTTGTTAGCGTGACTTTGCATACATCCTACTGTAATTAGACGTGAGTGACAGATTCACCAAGTGTTCACTTTTGCTGCAGCCTCAGAGAAATCTGCCAACTTTGTATTACAATAGCAGAACCTGTCAGTTCTCCCTCCTTTACTTTTGATAGGTAATGTCTGATATTCACATAATAATCACTCATTATGGACTGTGATTACACATACTATGCATATGCGGATGCATTTTTGGTGTTGTGCAACAGAAATTTAGGCAGACACACCAAACAGACTCATGCACACTTGGCTGCCATTTTCCTGGGCTGCTGTTAGAGAACAGATGGCTTATCTTTAACTTTATCAGTGGCGGTGGTGTCACACGCAAACACGATAAGTTTCTCAGTGCCTGGGGAGAGAGGCGTCCGTCTGAAGCTAACAGCATATGGTAGAGGCACATTAAGGCGTCCTTTCTCTCTTTCTCTGCTTCCCTGTTCTTTGCATGGTTGTACAGCCAAGCATC